ATATATAAATAGGAAATATAAATCATACCCACATATTTATTGAAAACATTTAGTCAAGACCCCCCAAATACTGTGAATTGAGCTTCTTCCCAACTACTGGCTCCTTCTACTGAAGTAAAGAATAACAGTACCAAGCACCTGGGTGTGCTGAATACCCCTTTTCTCTGATTTTCCAGCACTGATAGAGACATGTCAAGTAATCAAGAAATTATTCTCATTAGATGTCAATGGGTCACATCTAATTCTCATTAGACGCCTGTGGGTCTGTGGGCTGCTCATTGCAGGATCTACAGAATACTGAACCCAAGTGGTTGAAGGAAAGGTTATTAATGATTCTGACTGCTGTAAAATACATATTTATTTCCCAAGTATCGAGAAAACTACTCATTAGAAGAAAGCAACTTAATCCAACCAATCAAAGTAAACAAAATTATAATTTAGAGAACATTCTGATGTTCCAGTATTTCTCTGGTCCAGTGGCAGGTAGTTCAAACAGTTTCACAACATTTTTTAGAGGGAAAACTCTTTGATTTGTTTCACTTAAGAAATAGAGGGTTACTTTAATTTTTAACAGGTAAAAGTAGTTGTCTGATGTTTTCCCATTTAAATATAATATTTGGTTTAAATCTTGCATAAAAACAGAATCAGTGTGACGCACTGGAGAAAGCGTGGGGTCTGGAGTCATTGGAATTCTCCAGGTTGGAGTCTGAATCTCAGCTCTGTCATGTACTAGCTGTGCAATTTTGGGCAAGTTACTTATCCTTTGACTCAGTTTTCTTATCTGAAAATAGGGGTAACACGATATATCTAAAAAAGGTGTTACAGGGGTTAAATTTATGTTCACTTATTTTTTCTTTCTAAGTATTATTCTGGGAAATAAGAAAATAAGGTGAAATCATTGGTAGTCTTAACTATTTTAAAAGACCATGTTTATTTGCAAGACTGAAAAGACAAACAGGTTTCATTGTAGGAAAAAAATGTTCACTTGAATAATTTTTTGCCATTTTATTTAACAAGGCAAAAGTAAAATGGGTTCAAACAAATCAAGTGGAATTAGCTCTGCTTGGCACTTTTTTTGGAGAAGTGGCTCTCATATACTGCTAACCATCCTAATGCTGGAACGGGTAAGAGGGCTGGCTTTACAGGCAAAGCAAAACCTTCCTACACTGGCTCCACTCCTGAAGTAATAGGAAGTCAAAAGTGCAGTCAAAATACTTTTTGCCACCAGATATTCACACTAATATTTTACTGAAAAATAACAAAAACTTATCTAAGGTGAGTAAAACATTACCTTATAAATAAAATGAACTTACCTAGTTTCCCTCTCCTGAGTTCACCAAACTCAAAATAACTTTTTTTATAGTAAACTGAAATATTGATGTCATGTGTCTAAAACATCTATGCAAAATTAGAACAATAAAGGATGGATGTTTTCCTTTAAGAAATGGTCTCTCTAAAGAAAAAAAAAAATCCTATGCAATTCTCCTTAGAGCCTACGGAAAATATACTAGGTACCAGAAAACCAGATTTAGTAAAGTAGATTCTGTAAGTAATATCCTCACTAAATCCTAGAATTTCATATTCCACTCTAAATTATAAAACCAAAATAGAGAGTTCGAAAGATTGAACTTTTCATTCTTCCAGTAGACTGCAGTGATTGTCAGAGCTCTTTAAAATGTTTTTGTCAGATTGTTACTGATAAAGATAAAGCCTCTCAAACCAAACAGTGGCTTCTTTTCTGATTCACTGCTTATACCTGGCAATACTCTGTGATGGAGTAAATGGCATACAACATGAGAAAAGGATCAGCAGTGACAGTGAGGAAAAATTCTCCCCAATGAAGTTTCCAGGATCCAGTAGCCAAAGGTGATAACCCTTTCTCTGCAGAATGCTGAGAGAAAACATTTGTGTAGAATTGCTCAATGCTGTTCTTGGAGCAATTTGAATGTGGTGAATATTGAGAAAATTCCTACTGCTGAGGCAAAAATGAGATCACCAAACACATACCATTTTCCTAGAAGTTTTTTCTTTAGAACACTGCCTAACAAATGGGTAGCATAAAATTTTCACATCTTAAAAGCTTAGATTGTTAAATTCCCAAATGATGAACAATGAAATGATTACGTTATGGCTAGGTACATGGAAGATAGCCAGTAAATGTATACAGTATCTGCACTGAGGATTCCTGGGCACAAGAGGCATTATGGAGCTTACACAACCTGAGTTTCTTCCTACCAAGACATGTTATTACTTATACATATTCAATGGAAAAAGAGATGGCTGCAATTTCTAACATATCCACAGTTGTAGGTGCTGTTGGTGTTGTCTCATACACAGTGCTTTGAAGATAGGTATAAGGAAAAATGGAATCAAATCCAAACAAATTAACTAGGGAAAAAGATGAAAGAAACAGGTCACCTCCAGAATAAGTCATCCAAAGAATGACCAAGACCTCTATATTAAGTCAGGAGAACTTAATTTTATTTTATTTATTTATTTATTTAGCTGAGCCATTCTGCCACCTGTTGGCAGCTCAGCGGCAGCTCAGCTCGGGCCGGGCATCGAACCGCTGTTACTCAGAACTCAAACTCTTGAGCGAGAACTTAATTTTATTATGTGGAAAAATATTCCGTTTCTACTTTTCAAAATTTTATTTGTAAGATTTTGTTTCCCTATCATTTGAGTAAGTCAAAGCCAAACGAGGGTATCTTAAAGTAAGAGACTTAATTAGCTGTTAATGTAGAAATGAGAACACAGAACAGACATTTCTGCTATGTACTTAGTTCCTGACTGGGATCGCTGCACCAACTTGTGACCTCAGCCACTCCTCACTCTGCTATAGCGTGCAGCAGATTGAGAGATCCACACTCTCTACCCCACTGACAAACCCACATGAACCCGCTGGGGGGCGGGGGGGGGGAATCAATGTTAACAGAAGGAGTGACTCCTAGACTCTTGTCTGAACACAGGAAGAAATGGATGATATACATAATGGCATTAGACTTATAATTGACTACATTAAAAAAATAATAATAAGATTTGTATCTAAAAGTAAATATCAAGGACAACTAGTTTTAAAAATCTGTACAATAATAACCAGGCAGGCACTTTGGAAACATAGGTACTCATTAAAATAAGAGTATACAATGGTTAATAAAAATATTTGTAATATCAGGTTCTGGCCTGTGTCTAGTCATATAGAATCTAATCAGAGATATTTTTCTAAGAGGAAAATGACTTGCAGAAGGATAAGTCTTTGAGACTTTTCAATGATAGCACCATAAAAGAATGCAGAAATGTCAAGTCTCAGGCTGATTATGGCTTAATAACAACAATACCTACCTCAAACTTGTAAGGATTAAATAGGATAATATATGAAAAGTGCTTAGCACAGTGCCTGGCACACAGTGAACTCAATAAATGGTAGCAACCATCACTTTGAATTGATGCTGAAAGCAAAGAAGGAATTGGCATTAAAATCAGAGGAAAGCTCCATGTCATAAACTCCTTTTTAAACCAATATGTAGTTTTTGAATCACACCATCAATTCTAGTTTATTGAAAACAAAGGGGACAAGCACAAGAGCACAAAAAATTAACTTAAGAGTTAAAACTCCTTCCTCTGACATACCTGTTAGCAGAGCTATTTTTTTTAATTACACAGGTTTGTTGTTTTTTATTACTTTCCTTTCTCTTTCCTTGTTCATTCCTTGGTAAAAATACTAACACATAGTGAAATGGATCAAAAAGATAGAAGAGGAAAAAGGACAGAATACATAAAATATCCTCTGAACATGAAAAATGGTCTTTATATTGTTCTAAAGTTCTCTATGCACTTGTACATAATTACATTTTTTAACCCTCTAAGAATTCAGGGAAACATTATTTTAAGTTTACATATGAATAAACTATATATGGAGAATTATATTTTTACATATTATATATGTGCAAGTGTAAATAAAAATCAGTCAGTATAGGACAGCAGAATATTCTCGGCTAAACTTGGAAACGTGTAACCAGCTGGTGTAGTCAGAGAAGAGGCATTAAATCTAAGGTTGCTGCAAGTTTATTCCAGAGATAGATATAAAAAAACATGAACTAGACATCAATGTAAATATCCTTTTCTTAATGCCAATAATAAAGCCTCTGGTTTTTTAAAAAACCTTTTTTTCTTCCTTAACCTATTAAAAAATATTACCTAATTAGAGTCAAACTATACAATTGACTTTTAAAATTTGTTATAATTAGAAAATATTATGAAGACCTAAGGATACACCAATTTTGTAAAGATGTAGAACCCATCATGAATTGCTTTTTCCTCTGGCTGTTACCTGAGAAGGCAGGAGGTGGGTCTGGTCCTTCTTTCTGACTAGTACACCTCATTTAATAAAGGGTGAGGATGATGACAATAGGCACCATAGCACGTTGCCATATATTTTCAATAATTAGTACATGGCACCCACCAAAAATATTATTACTGGTAAAAACTTAACATGCTATCCTCAAGGATCTGCTTGAAAGAGGTAAGATGACTAACCCTTGCAGAAGTTCATCAACAAATGTTTACTACACTATGATTAAAAATATGTTACAACAAACAGCACCCAGAAGGACAGAAAGCAGACAAAAAGCAAAGCTGCAAGAGTGAATCCAGCGAAGCACATCTACCACGCAAAGGGGCAATGTGCTTCATTATTAACATTAAAGTCTTCTTTAATGCTTTTCTCAAGTCTTCTCTAAGAAGTCTTTACCTTTTTCTTTAAAGCAAGGCTATCTTCAATTAGAAATTTAATAGGGTTATCTATATTTGACTTGCAGAATAATATCCTTTATTTCAGCAAAGATAAACCAAGGCAAATTGGAAAGCAAGATTTTAAACCAATAATGACCTAACATGTAAAGGTCTTGGTGCCCGAACACAGATGTAATGCAGACAGACATAAGAAAATGTCCCTCTTACCTCCTCTCCATTTAAAGGTTACAGGACACAACAATACTGAATTAGGACACAGGCACAAGTTTATTTAATATGTAGTACCACCTACATCCTGCTTTCATACTTGCAGCATAATTTAACACATTCAAGGATACTCAAGTCAATTCAAAATATCTATACCAATGGTTTTCAAACTGTTTTATAAATTATAGCTGACCTGCTAAAATAATTAAGCCTCATGCAGAAATCTTATGTAGTATATAAAATAGATGAAGGAGAAGTGGTCTGGTTGAAAGCCCAAGCTGATAGCCTGGAGTCATTCCTACCACCTCTTGGTGACCCCTTAGGAATCCAATGAGCATAGTTTGAAAACCACTGAAATAATGTGATTTCATTATTTCAGCAATTAAATTTATAACAACTATTAAATTAAACAAGCTAAACACTTTCTGGAATGTTGGGATCTGAAGAAAGCTAGCATTCAAATGAGCAGTTAAATTCATTAAATAATATACTTTTAAAATACCCATTAAGAAGTTAAAGGGACAATATAAGGTTTGTACATCATCATACTATTTATTGAAGTAGAAAGAACTTGAAAAAATTTTTACTTCAAAACTTCAGTCTAGTAAACTGAAATCATGAATAATAAAATGCTGTTCCTTATTTTGATTTCCTAAATCATGATTTACCCCAATTATAAATTAGGGTAGTTATATTCAATTTTCATGAAAAATAAACAGTATTAATAATGGGCTTTACAGAAACTAATTTCTTTACAAAGTCTTGACCAACTGTTGCCTGGCTATGCCAGTATGGGGAATTTTCTTTCAAAGATATTTTTAGGGAAAAGTTTTGTTTCTTTGTTTTTCTTTTTTAAATTGGGAAAACTGTAAAACATAAAACAAATGTAAATATATGGTAGAAAATGCTTATTCAGAGTTCTAACTGCTCATGTCAAACTTCTCTTTATGAAAATGTATCCAGTACAATTGAATCAACATACAATTTATTTTTTATGGTAACAGATTTTTCAAATTGAGCTTTTTTAAAAAGTACATTTAACTACAAAAGTAAGATTAAATAGATACTTATAAAATATATTTACCTTGAAATGGTTAAGAATATAAAATGTTGATGCCCACATCAATAGTACATTATACATTAAACACGCATTATTTAAAGGTTATTTTCTTTCCAGTAATAATGTAGATAAAACCATATTTATTGCTTATATCAAGTGCAGGTTAAAATCCAGATGGCCTCAAAAACAAATCCTTGTGATAAAGGATTTCTCAATCTGGTCAGGTGCAATATTACGTTTAACATGTATGAATACAGTTGCAAAATGTAACAGTTTTTAACAGGCATTAAAGTCTTTATTTTAGATAGCCATTTACAGTTTGGGGGTGGTACCCTGAGATGTAGGGCTGAGGACTGAATTATCATTTACCTGGTTGGTGTCTATTCTACTGCTTCATTTTTGGGTTATGAGTTTGCTAACAGACAAACCCTTGATATTAACGCAACACTGTCAGCTACTAGTGCCGAAGCTTGCTGGGCAAAATTGTTTATTTATAGGACATTTTGCTGAAAAAACAGTGTCCAGCCAACAAAAACGCCAACCAAAATGACTGACACAAACCCCATCTTAGTGAGAATAGGTTGCCAATATAACCACCTTTTTCTTTTTCGTTCAGTCTCATTTAGCCTCTGTTTCATCTGCTGCACCTTCTGAGCTGTGTTAGCTTTTCTGTCTTCTCGAATTCGTTTCCGTAGAACACTATGAATAAATAAAAACAAATAAAACGAAGTGCTTGGCAGGACTTAATTACTCTAATATAGAGGACAGACACGAGCTCAAATATTTATTCCCCACACATTTTTCAACTCATTCAAATACTGCAATAAAAAAACGAAAAAGCCTAAATATTCTAAAAGCCTGGAGATGTATTCTGAGAACTCAGTGACAATTTCTGGTATTTTGGTAGGACCTGAAAATAAGCATGGTGGTTTCTTTCTTTCCTTTCCTTTTCTTTTCCTCCCTTCCTCCCTTCCTCCGTCTCCCTCTCCCTCTCCCCCCCTCCCTCCCTCTCTCTCTCTCTCTCTCTCTCTTTCTTTCTCTCTCTCTCTTTCTTTTTTTTTAATTAAAGTTTATTGAGGTGACAATGGTTAGTAAAATTACATAGGTTTCAAGTATATAATTCTGTAATACATCATCTATATATCACATTGTATGTTCATCACCCAGAGTCAGCTCTCCTTCCATTAACATATATTTGACCCTGTTTTCCCTCATCTACCACCCCCCTCCCTCCTTATCCTCTGATAGTTTTTTAAAATGTGAACTGGTGCCTGTCCGTTTTCTTTCTTTCTTTGTTAACCAGCCAGCAGAAGTGGGAAGACAAGTGGGTCCCCTAGCATCTGATCCTGTTTTGTGTTTGACATTTGACTTTTGATAAAGGCCCCTGATAAAAGCTATCAACTTAACATTTCTATAAATAACTGTTGTTGTGGGAGTGCCTATTGCTCTGTTTGTCCATACATATTTCTAGTTCCCATTTTCCTATTCAAAACAGAATTTTTGTTTCCTTGACTCCCAAAATACATGGTCCTAGGACTACGTAAGAAAGGATGACTAATGACAACATGTAAGTTACTATTGCCTATATTAAAGCAAAAACTTAACCAGTTTTCCTGCCCCCAAATTAAACATCACCACAGTAATTTTCCTAAAGCATAGCTCTGATCATGTAGCTTCATTAAATATCTTGAATGCCTTTTCAGTGTCTGCTACTGCATTAAGAGCCGACTTTTTTCCTAGCCAAAATGTTTAAACTGTATTTAACAATGAGGAACATTGTGGGGGCATTTGAAACGGTAACTAGTCTAGAAGCTGCAAGAATGCCAATGTCAAGCAAAGAAAAAAAAAGTGGCAAACAGTTTCAGATTAAAGTAGACTAAAGAATCATGTTACCAAATACAAAGCATTATCCTCAATTAGATCTTGAATTATTTTTTTAAATGGCTATAGACTGGAATCATGAAAACGTCCCAAAATTAGATTATGATGATAGCTACACTGTATATATACTAGATCTATAGAACTGTACACTTTAAATGAATTAACTTTATGGTATGTAAATTATATCTCAATAAAATTATGTGGATTTTTTGGACAACTAGATAAATTTGAATATAGATTATATATTAGATTATTTTATCAATGTTAAATTTCTTTGGAATATTGGAATTTTCAGACATTGTTGGTGGGAATGTAAAATGATGTAGCTGCTGTGGAAAACTATTTGGCAGTTCCTAAAATGTTAAACATAGTTACCATATGACCCAGCAATTGCCCTCCTAGGTATATACCCAAGAGAACTAAAAACATATGTCCATGCAAAAACTTTCCAATATTCTCCTGCTGTGCACAACTCTGTTCTTATCTAAATGGTTTTTTGCTTTTCTCTGAATCTGTTAACCCTCTAAACTAGAAACCTTCTCTTCTCCCTGGTCCTTTCATTTCATTTCTATTCTTCAATTTTCTTTCTTCTCTTAGAACCCTTCTATTCTTTCTTATGATAATTAATTTATAGTAAATAATTTGTTAATTTGGGTTCTTATTTTATAATATATTAGCAAGTTGGAGACTTTATTTTGCTTATCTTTGTATGCCATGTGGTGATTTCTAATGTCTTTTTCACTTTTATTATAAACACAGGTATCTGAACATTTGCTATAATGACTTGCAAAAATTATTACACAGAATTCACTCTCTGAATTGAAAATTTACTATAACAAGTATGTGGGTACCTGCAAGTGAAAAAATGTAACTTATATTCAAGTGTAGGCAAAACATATATAAAATATGTAAAAATGTAGAGCTCTTACCCAAGGGGATATAGCCTTTGCCTTTCATGGGTCCCTATATTTATTTCTGCCAAGAACCTGGAGCCACCAACAACCAGGTTTCAATTTTGATGGAATCTCTAACATTGCAGTATTGAAAACAATTATAATTTTTATCCAGTGTTGTCATTTACCATATAAACCTAATGAGTTCACTGAGTGTTACATGTTTATATAATTATACTTTAAATACTTTGTTCTATAGGTGTTTAACAGGATTTTTATGATTTAGGGGGGAATTGGTTATGGTTTTGACTGGGCAGAGAACACACAATTTTTCCCATTTAAAATAACGGAATAGAAGCTCTGGCTTTTCAAAAATGCACTATACACATGTTTTCAGGAATGGAATGAATAGAAGTACCCAGGGATGCCATTACTTAGTTCAAGAATGCAATTTCAGAGAAGTAAGGACTATTCTCAATTAGTGATTCAATAAAATTTTTGTACATAGTAGGTCTAAGGAAATTGGATCTATGTGCTAATATGCCAAGTGGGACCTGGTCAGGTTTTCCTATATGTTTATACAATGTAGGCCACAAACTGGTAGGGAATGCCTCCTGTGGATCCGTGCCTATGAAAGAACAGATGAAATTCCTCACAGTGGGGTGGCACACACAGCAGGCTACTGCCAATACATGTCTCAATAGGTGTTTATGCAATTTCACTGGGGAAGGATCCAAATAATCTGACTTTCACTTATTCAAATGTTGATCACTCTCAGTCATCTGGGTTTATGGGTAGCACTATAATTGAAAACATTGGCTTTCAAAACTTGATGGCAACTACAGCAAGAAATAGCATCTCAACAGACTAACAAACACACTTTTAAATATGTACACTATATATATATATATATATATATAATTAACATAACATGTATATATATATAAATGTTAAAATATTTAGTTACTATTTGTGTGCTCTGACCTATTTTATTTTGTAATTTAACTGATTTCTATTTTATTGTATTCTATTATTTTAAAAATACTTTTCATAACTCACTAAGTTGATTTCATGACTATGGGAATGTGACCTTCAATATGAAAAGTACTGATTTGGAGGATATTTAATAATAAAAATGAAGAAAAGACAGTATTGTGCTCTATTCTTTTGAAACTGAAATCCTTTTAGTAAGATTTTGATTTATCTTATTAGAATCTCTAATGCAAAGCTGTAGATCAGTATTAAAATTTATTAGGATTGAACAACAAAATTTTTCAGGGTAATCTTTGTTTCTTCACTTTTCTACAGCCTTTCTCCCTCAATGAGTCCCCTCTGCTCACAATCCTTACTTTCCCATTAGACCCTCCCTTTGCTTTCAAACAGGCTCTGGCCACGCCTATCCCTTAAGGAAGAAAACAACGTATGTGTACACCTCCAAAAACCACCTTCTGCAATCACTCTATAACTCCTGAGTGGTTTTATTGATCTACTCTGTACTACCAAAGTTGGGTGCGTGATTTACCTTGGTGAAACTGTTAATATGGCTGTGTTAATATGGCTGGCCTGTGTCCTGAAAGATTAAACCTCAACACCTTTGAAATGCTAAGGGTTCCTCCAATTCTATCATCAAGCCTGTTTTCCATTAAATTCTGCA